ATTCAAAGTTCGGCTCGGTCAAACTTAGTGCTTTTCTACTTTTTTATATAAAAGAAACACATTTTATTTTCATTAAAGCAGCTTATTTATTTTTTTATAATAATAATAATATATGTATAATCTTTTTCTTTTTTGTAATAATTAATTGTTTAAGTAAAACTTAACAATTTGTTTTTAACCAACAATATTCATTTTTAAATATATTTTTATAAAAAATCATTAAAATAAATATGTTTTATTTTTTCTTCAACAATAATTTCATTTCATTTAATTGTTTTAGTTGTTCTTTCATTTTATCATAAATAAATTTATGCAGTTTTATACAATTTTCTTTTAAATTTTTAATATAAACTATGAACTTTGTTTTTTTTTGTTTTGTTGTTGTTGTTGTTGCTGTCATAGGTATTTGTCTGTGCATTTGTTAGTTTTTGTTTTTGTTGCTTTATGATTTTTGTTTAGCTTTGATTGCATTTGTATCTTCATTTTGTTGTTCCATTTAGATGTGTCTGTTATTTTTCTTTGGATTGTTTTTTGTTTTGCTTCTGTTAATTTAAAACAAGTTGTAGCAGATTGTTTGTTTTAATAACAGATTATAATTTTAATAATAAATATCTCTTGGTTTTATTTTTTGCATAACTCACAAAATTTTTCCAAAGGCTTAGTCTTGATCTTCTGTGCTTTTATTTTCCAAACGTTGCTCTTTTTATGATAAATAAGTGAAAAAAAAAAAAATAAATAAAAACAATTTTAATGTTTCCGATTTGGTGAGAATGGCTATTTAAATCCCGCGAAATTGTAGCTAAAGATCTAAAATATAATAAATAATATGCAATGACATCCACGTTTAAACGGATGTCATGTTACGTTTACATACGAACTCTTTTCTGCAGAGAATGGATCTGTCATGACCTATTTGAAATAGGCTTTTACAAATTGCATATCAACGCATTAATGTGAACATGGTATTAGTTTTCGTTTACATAAAATATGTCTTTATAAACATATAGTCATTATAGAGTTCCCTATCACATTTTTTACAAATGTATGTAAATATAGCTTATCAAAAAGATCATGACTCCAGGGCCTCCAATTATCACTGCTGATCAGCTGTCAAAATATTTTCTTATGACTGAATGTTTATTATGAAGTGTAAAACAATAGTAATGAGAGTAAACAACTTTTGGTGGAACGCCTTTCTTTGGAGTCATACCAAGACCAGCTGATTTCATCCGTATTGTGAAATACATACAATTGTGAATTAAATGTATGAAAACGTAACCGAAAATGTTTACAATATGATGGTTTTAAATCATATGCTACTTACACGGCCTGTTTAAAGGACCTTCGTCTCATTTGTTATTGATCATTAAAAGTAAGTTTACACTTACTAAATTGAGTGGATTTGAACTGTCAATTCCATTTTCAGGGGACCTAGTGGATTTCATTTGACATATACGCAATGGAATTGACAGTTAAAATTCATCGGATTTGTTATGTGTGTACCATGGTAGAAGAATACAGGTAGACACAGCTGCTGGGACAATGAACTGTCAAACCAATTTTGGAATTGAAAATATTTAATGAAAAATTATTGAAATTTATAACAATATTATTAATTGTTGAAATTCATAGCAACTCCCCATTTGTGTTGTGTAAGAAAACTTATAAAAATCTACTTATTTTTGTCAAAACATTTAAATTTTTTGACATATCAATGTTCCCAAGTGTTGATGCATCTACCTGTATTCTTCTGCCATGTTGTGTACCGCGTATAAGGCCATGTTTACATTGAACGAGCTTAAATAAAATTTAATATTTATAGTAAATAATAATCTTTTATCCACAAAGCACGGGTTATAGCCATATGGATGTTAGACGTTCAATGCATGTTTTTAAATTTAATATATATATTCACTAGGATGTTGTGATAAATGCTTAGGAATAAACAATAAATTGCAATACAAATTGTAAACTACAACATTTTTTTGTCTTTCTTTTACACTTTCTACTTTAACAAGTTTAACAATTTTAGCTGGTATAAAAAAAATTAAATTTCTGCATTTTATATTTTTCTTTCTTAATCTTCTTTTTGGTATAAAAAATCTACATTTTTCAAATTCAACAAACAATTTTTCACTAAATATATATATTCATATAATTGATTCTGTATTTTTATATATTAATATATGTAAATATGTAAAGTTTACTAATTCCAAGCTAATTTTCTGTAACATTTTTTTTTTGGTTTTAGTAAAAAATTTAATAATTGCAAGTCAAAGCTGCCGATGGGAATAGCCATGTGTCAGATGAGGTAGCCTACATGCGTTGATTATGGACATATATTTGATTTTAAAGAAGATGTTGAATTCTGAAGAGAAAGATGTATTAAATATTGGTAATAAAAAATGTGGTTTCCTCAAAAAATCTGCATCCAGGGCTGGAAATATTTCTTTTTACACATTTTCGTTTGACATTTCTTTTTTAAATATAAGTTTTTTTTTTTTTAAATTTTAAAAATATTAAAATATCATAGAACAAGAGGGCCAGTGTTCACGAAATATCCCAAAATTGTATAGTTCAATGCCCATTAAATACTAGATTTTTGTTGCAATGGAATTTGAAGTAATTTCTAGCGCTTATCTGGCTGGCTTAAGTCATCGCCTGGCCTTTCGGAAATGAACAAAGAAGCCTAGGGCCAAAATCGAACTAGGTCAACCTGATTCTCCTTTGTTCATCTACGTTGAAGCCAGCCGAGCGCTTTATGTATTCCCACCCTTACGACTGTGAGCTTTTTACTACAAGCAACATTCTTCTTCGACTTTCAGTCTTTTTAATACCAAAAATTAATTAATTGAAAGTCGATCTATATAACCCTAAACCAAGGCTTAAGTCATCGGCTGGCTTTTTCATAGAGGAAAAAAAGAGTTTTTGGTTGGCTTGCTTCGATTTTGTTCGTTTCCGAAAAAACCAGACGATGACTTAAACCAGTCAATAATCGTTTTATGTATTCTCATCTTTAAAACAGCAATATTAAACCCTCAAAGATCGCTAAGTAATAGCTGGAACGATGAACTGTCAAACCAATTTTGAAATAAAAAATTTCAAATGAAAAATTACTGAAATTTGTAACAATTAAAAAAAAAAAAAACCTTCGATGTTGACATATCAATGTTCCCAAGCCTCAATGTTCCACCGGTATTCTTCTATTATGGTACTACCTAGCCGAATCCAAAGTCGACAGAAAAATGTAGACATTGGGGTTTTTGCCCCTCGCAAAAGCCGACTTGAATTTTCAGCAACAAAAGTCGATTAGTAAGAAGTCGACTTACGTACCCCTAAACCAATGCAACAAAAGGGGCAGAAAATAGAGGGCTATCATGGTAGAAGAATATAGGTAGTCACATCCACACAGCTGCTGGGACAATGAACTATCAAATTAATTTTGAAATTGAAAATTTTGAATGAAGTTGTTCAAATTTCTTAAAAAAAAAACATTCGACACATCAATGTTCCCAAGCGTTGATGTATCTATCTGCCATCAGAGCAATATGGCAAAAACATAAAGCATTGACAAGAACAAGAAAAGGTTGAGGGTTGCCATCTGTTTTACTTCGGAATTCGACATAATTAAGAAGATTACTTAGTGCAATCATATGTTTGATTTTTTGGACTATTATACTTTTGACATGGTAGAATCAAGAAGGTAATATCATGTAATCATATGTTTACATTTTTTTAAATATTGTTCATTTGACAACATCTCATTGTCAAAATTCGAATTTAAAAATTTATTGTACATTCACAAATCAGAGATGGGAACCTGTTTTTATGCAGTAAAATGTGGCAAGATAAATTACAGAAAATTCAGAGATGGGAATGCTTATTTGAAAAGATTTTACCTTCTTAATTTTACCATGCTTTTGACAAAATGTATTTTCATAAATCTTTGTAAATGCATAAATCAGAGATGGGAAATTGTTTTTTTATGCAGTTAAATTTGACATGGTAATTTACAAAAAAATGCAGAGCTCGATATTCTACTTTGAAATGAGGTTACCATCTTAATTCTTCCTAGGCATTTAAAAACAAAACATGTCTTTCCAGCATCTGTAGGCTACCTCAGCTACGATGTGCGTTTGTCTGACATTTCTGAAATTGTGTCAATAAAAGATGATAGGAGCAACAAATATTTTTTTTTTACAAAAACCAAAAGGTATGGCATTCCTTTGAGCTTGAACTAGGCTTAATTGGTAGGCTTAACAAATACACAATCATTACTTTTATCTCTTGTTTTCTTAGTCGCTTGTTTCGTTTCATTTTCGTTTCGTTTTGACGACAGGTAACATGAAGATACGTTCCGGATTCGTTCCATTTGCAGGCGGAAAAGGTACCAACGGTGAGTTTGCTGAACTTGGCTTTACAAAATGGTTGTCTTAAATACATATTTTTTGTGTGTGGCTGTGTGTGTGTGGATGATGAATGCATTTTGTTCAGTGTATTACATGTACATACATACAGACATAACTAGTTACAATGATACCGTTTTGCGGGTATTCTGGATGTGTTAGATGTAAAAAAAGTGTCCTTAACTTCATGGATGTATGCATGTGGTCGGTTTGAGTGCTCTATTGGCTAAGACAAGCTAATTTACAAAAATTCTTTGTTTCTTTAACAGGTTTTCAATCTTAGCTTTAGTTTTGTTTTTTTTACAGGCTAATTATGGCTTAGAGTCTAGAAAAGGTAGAAAAAGGATTTAGAGTTAGAGTAGTGTAGGATTTGTTTTGACAATTGCTCCGGATTGTTTTCAAACATTAGTTTTGCAGAGGAAGTTTAAAAATTTGTTCTTTTCTTTTTTAATTGGAGTACAAGAATATAGCTTATGTATGTCTTTTTTTTTTGTTTCTTGTGTAAATATGTATGTATCTAGAATAGATTTCTTTAAATATTAGCTTGTTGTTGTTGTTTTTAAGGTTAGTAAGTATGATTAGAGTAGATTCTTCTTTTTCTTTTTTGTCTTTTGTTTTTTTGGTTTGTTTTTAAATAATAATGATTTTGGAAATCGTTTTAATTGCTTATCAAATGCCAATGCTTGGAAAATTGTGGGTAGAAAGCTTATAGTAAGCTTTACCTTTTTTTGCTTGCTCCCCTTAGCTTAAAAAGCTTAACAAAGTTAAAAGCTTATCCAACTTGAACGTGGGTAGGTAAATTTGTTTTGTTTGTTTTTTTTGCTTAGTTTAAAGGACTTATATGTAAAATGCTCCGCTTCAGAAGTTGCGATTACACGATGCTACAAAACCTCACGGCACAGTTCAATTCCAAGTTCTAGTCCTTGTTGAGCTTCCCTGCAGCACCGTGTCATCGAACCTCTTTTCACAAATTGCGATTTTCCATGGTGGGTGTCCAGCAATTTCATCTCGTTTTCTTGACCAAACTTGCGGATCTGCAATAGAAAAAAGAAACCCTTAATGCATTTCCCCCTCTTCCGAATTTTCATTACCACTCACCTTCTGACGCCATGTCTGGGACTGACGGGTGGTGTTCTTGCCGGCGAAGCTGGTGCTGAGGAGCCCGACGAGGCCAGCGACAGGGTGGAGTTGCGTGGCGCTGAGCAACCTAAATAAATGGCCGATCCCTTGTCGGTATCACGCAAATCGACACGTGAGCCATGGACGGACGATGGCACGGAACCTGACGACGACAAAGACTTTTCGATAAGAGAATAGACCCAAACCTGGAGGTTAAGTCACTACGCACCTGTATAGGAATGTAAACCAGCAGGACTACTGCGAGGACGCACCGCCAGGCCACTGACAGTGCTGGCACTGCGTTGCAAATTCGTACCGCCATTACTACCGCCGCTGCCGCCACCCCTCGAGCCAGAGCCTGCGGTGGTATTGGAGGCACCCGAACCGCCGCCGGCCTTGGAGGAATTTTCCGTTTTGCCATTGCCGGTCAAACGGCTGCCGGCGCTACTGACACGCGGCGAACGTGTTGAATTCCTGGAGGGTGAACGTTGCAGTTGTCGCTGTTGTTGTTGACGTTCTTGGGCCTCTCTTTTGCTGGCCTCAATGGCGGCCGCATATTCGGCCGCCTCGGACGAGGTGGTAGGACTAAGGTGGGCCTCTTCGTCTTCAGGTATTCCTTCGCCGCCCAGTGAACGACGTGAACCCACGGCCTGGCCTGAGTGTTTAGGTGACGTTGGGCACGATTGAGCGGTGGTGACGCCACCCGTTGAAGCCTGGGGCCGGAGGCGTGATCGTGTTGAGGCAGATGAAGGTCGTCGGCGGAAAAGACCTTTGGTGGGGTCCATGTTGCAAACACCTGTGGCGGGTGAAGAGAAACAAAACACACATACATGGACAAAACGCACACAAATAATTCTAGGCGGGAAAGCAGAGAGTGCAACGCGTAACGCATTCATTCTGCTTTGCCCTTGATGAATAATAGAAAATGGTGGCAAGTGCAATGAAAGATCGAAACAAAAGCTTTTGCAAAATAATAAAATTAAAAAGTTTTATTAAGAAAATCGGAAATTCATAGGAATAAATAATACAATGGAATTGCTCAAGATTGTTCATGGACCAGTTGCTCTTCTGCGGGCATTTCCACCAGGGGCCGATAGAGCACAACATTTTCCATCAACACCTCACCACCCTTATCATAATCAAGAGTATCATTGTTTTTCTCTTTATTTCGTTTATCCGCTGCTACCGCTTCTTTCAGAGGACAGCGATATTGGCCCGAAGAACTTCTCACCTTCCATTGTTCGACGGCAAAGGGCAGAGCATGATTGAGGTAGTTTTTCACATGTGCATGAGAGGATGACTGTGCCTTTTTATTCTCATCGGCCAACCCACCTGTGGGACATTTCTCCCCCCGAACACAATTCCCCTCACAAATATCACGATTCTGCAACAGCTCCTCATAGTTATCCAATGCTGCCATGCATTTCATGCGATCCAACTTCTCCAATGCCATGGAGGGGTAACGTTCGCGCAGACGTCTTCGCTCCTCGGCCAAACGATAAATTTCGAATTCCTGCAGTTGGTTTTGAAAGCCCACATTCGGATTGGCAACAGCGCGTCCAGCGCGCACTACTTTCAGGGCGTCTTTCCAACTCAGATTCGTGGCAGTCATGATGTAGGCAACGGCTACGGTGACGGATCGCGACATGCCAGCCAAGCAGTGGATGAGGACATTGCCCTCACGCAAACGGGCGGCATGGATGAAATCATTGCAGACCGTAAAATATTGGGAGAGATTTTGATCGGGTGTATCGGCAGCCATGACGCATAGGTAGTGTTTGTCCTGCGGAGAGGGAGAGAGAGAGCGTTGAGTGTTTATAATGGGTTGTTAGGGTGAGACAGGCTTACCGGCAATAATCTGCGTGGACTATCATGTATGGCCACAATGTGAGTTATTTTGAATTTGTCCAGTTGTTGGGTATCCTTCGAGTCTCGATAATTGCCCACATACAGACCAGGCAACACCTGCAACACCACAAATAAGAATTAGTATTGATAAATAACTATTTTATTTTGTTCAAGAATCTTGCCGAGCTCATTGCTAAGGTTTCAGTTCTAAACTAATACTAAATGACTAAGAAAAGCTTAAAACAAAGCTTTAAATATTATTATTTTAAGCTTTGTTCGAGTAATTTTTGTGGGATAACTAAGTCCTCTTTTACACTAGTCAATTATAAATACAGTATTTGTTATTTGTTTTATGTGAGAATTTGAGCATCTCGATTTCCCACCCTTGTCACAAAGAATCTCGAATCTCTGTCGGAAACGAATGCAAATTTTTGAATTGTGCCTTAAATTCAGAAAAGACGTTCCCATCTTTCCGTTTTGTATAATTAGCTAAAAAACACAGATTATTTATAGATTCTTTGGCCTTTTGGATGTCAGAAGTATCGATTTTCTCACGAAGAAACTGAGGATTGCTAGTCGAAATCAAAAGTCGACGTGGAGGCTTTTCCATTTCTGTCATCGACCAAAATGTAATTAATTAAAAATCTTTTTTGGCCTTTCAAACCAAAGTAACAGAATATGGGATTTACTTTGCGATTTTTGCCGCATTAAAAAGTTGAGTTGAGTCGTTAATACCAATGATCGATTAGTATAAAGTCGACTTATGTATCCCTAAGAAAAGGGCTTTTCGTATTAATTGATCGATAGTCGACTTACATTTCCCTAAAACTAACTGACAATTGCAAGCATTGAAAAATGCTTAACCTAACATTTACACAAGACAATTGTATTTTACTAAACCAATACTATCCATACTATATACTATATATATCAGGAATTCTAATTAAGTCAGCTGTCAAAATATTACACAGAGAAGAGTGTAGGTAACGAAAGAAAGCTAAAAAATACGTTCTCCTTGCAACTTTCGGCGATCATTGGAAATGGAACAATACGTCAATACATATCTTAATTAATAGTACGGTTACATTAGAGATTTTTTAGAGTGTGAACCTCTTTCATGAGGATTTATTTGACGTATACATTTATGAAACTGCAATTTTACAGTATTTTGTGGTTTTAGAGGCGAAAAATCTGAAAATTCGTAAATTCAGGGTTTGAAAAAGAAGCAAACGATTCAAAATGTTAATTTTTTTGTCAATAAGCGATCGATGGAAGCTACAAAATTTTAATTTCTCATTGGAGTCGATCTTTGTGTAGAAAAGAAGGTACGGCAGAATCTTCCATTTAAAGGGAACAAAGAGTACTAAACGGTACAAAAAGGCACTATATTTTTTTTTGCAAAGGCAAGCACATTGAAATTTTATATGCGGATAAGTATTTTAATAAAGGTCTGTGATAGGGCGGAAATTTTGGAACTTTGTACTCGAAAAAATACTAAAAATATGGCACAACATGGTTACTGAGCGCTTCATAACAGCTTGAACTTTGAAATTTTGCATTGAAGCCCACTCTTTGCTGAGATAAGGAAATTCATTTTTTTAAGGGTATATATACTAAAAGGTATCCAGTGGCACACTATCGTTATTGAGACAGTTGTAGAATTAATATCTTTCAATTTTTTTGCGTTAGGCTTAATAATTTTTTGAAATATGTACTTCAAGAGTATTAAATGGCACAAAATGGGTAAATCATTTTTGCTAATCGTTCAGCAAGAGGTGGAATTTTTATATTTTATAATTGAGCAAAGTGTTATAATGACAATATTAACATTAAATGGGGTCGGATTTTTTTGAAATTCATACTGAAATTGGTACAAAAATACAAGGAGCAAAAATAAAGGGTACAGGGTGTACTAAATGTTCATGGTAGAAGAATATAGGTAGACGCATCGACACAGCTGCTAGAACATTGAACTGTCAAACCAATTTTGGAATTGAAAATGTTGAATGGAAAATTATTTCAATTTGTAAAAATTGTTGAAAAACACGTAATATAATAACCTCCGAATGACGTCGTATAAGAAGACATATAAAAATCTACTTTACACATTACATTTAAAATTTGTTGACATATCAATGTTGCCAACGTTGATGCATCTATCTATATTCGTCTAACATGTAAATGTCATAGATGTATCGAAAAACTGCTAACTAATGTCAAAACTAGGTGGCAATACTGTAAAATCAACGTAAGGTGTTGCCATATACACATTTGATTCTCATTCTCATTTTAAGAGAGTAAAGAAGTGTTAGGTTATACAAGGTTCCAACAAAATTAGATGTTCTGACGGACAAACATGGCTCCTAATTTCCTGAAATAAAGACGTGGATTCTAAAGTCGATGTTTTGAGAGACCATAATGCTTAGTGTATATAAATCGAAACGAAAGTGGAATTATTTGTTAAGTTTTGGGATATATTCAGAAGATTTCTGTACTCAAAGTAAGGACAGGTTTCAAGTGGCGTTTAAACTTTTTGGCTTCTTTTTAATAGTATGTTTACAGTTTAGAGGAAAACCAAGGCATTTAAACTGTAAATTCCATTCTCAGAGCCCGACAAGCACATTATTATTATCATATTTAAATAGGATTAAATTCCAAAACTTAATATCTCACTTACCTTGTTCATACCATTTCCCATGTTGTATCATTAAAAAGTTAACTTGGCTATGAAGATAATAAATCTGCAAAGAAAAAAAGACCAAATGCATAATAAGCAACAATGTTTTGAGTATGGCATCAAATTACAATATTACCCCCCAAAAGTAGGTAATACTGTGAGAAGAAAAAGAAAAATCCCATAAAGTATGCATCAGCAAGTTTTAATGCATTTCCTTGGAAACAGCTTTTGAAGAAATTGTTCATCTTTTCAATGCACATTTCTCACAACAAGAAAATTTAAAGCAAAAAACAAAAATGTGACAAAAAATGGTGAATGTCATTTGGATTGGTGAATGTCATTTGGATTGCAATGCCCCCGCACCACCACCTTCTCGCCGGGAGAGTGAGAAATATGGCATTTCTTTTACACAAGGAATTTGAACTTTGTGTGTGTCTTCTTTGCTTTGTGTGAATGCATTATCACTGTTATGTTATGAATTCAAAATCATTTTACCTTTGCCCCTCCCCATTCCAAAGGTGATGAAAAGGCCAAAAATATGTCAAATGTCAGTTTTTTTTTTGCCGAATGTCACCATTCTTTCAACAAAACAATAAAACACAATTATGCTAATGAATAGTTTTCTGTTTTAGTTTACAATGCTCAAGATTTTTTGGCAACCATTTCCAAGCTACAATTCCGTTTTCAACAAAGGAATCAATATTTTCCCAAATTCAAATCCCGGTGAAAGTCATGGGTCATCATGTCTCTTGGTTTTGTTGTCATTGTTTGTCTTTTTCGAATAGATTTAAATGCAAATAAAGAAGAAAACTTATATCCTCCTTAAAACAGGCCTAGTCAAATTTGAAAGCATTTCTGAGTGCATACTTTTAGGAGGTCTTGCACAAATATTACTTTTGTTGCATTTGTCACTGCATTTGTTTTTTTTTTTTTGGCTGGCTGGCAAAAAAGTACATTTGTTGATGTTATTGTCATTGTTTTTGATGCTGGCATTGTCGTTATCCTTTTGTATGAATATGTCGAGTACGGATTTGTTTAAAGCTCTCCAACCCGCAACTCATTGTTGTTGACTCAACAGTTTGCCGTTGACTTGCATACTTATAGGCTTGTTGGCTTTTGTATTTTATAGCCTAGTTTTTTTTCAGCTCTGCTTTCGGCTGAAACCTATTTGACATTGAGCGCACATACAAAATTATCCAGCCAATGTTTAAACAGATGTTTATTTTTCTAGTTTGTTGGGGGGTTTTATTTCTAGTTTTTTATTTGCATTCTGTTTTCGTTGTGCAGGATAGCTGTATATCTTATCGCATTGTTGACACGAAAGATAAAACAGCAGGGGCGTTGAAAATGGAAGATGGGGACTAAATGAAAATGTGGAAATATGGGTTATAGATTCGTTATCATCTAGTACGAATACAATAAAAAATCATTGAAAATTTCTAAAACTATCTTTGAAAATTCATGATAGTTCTTAGGACAAAATTCTGTAAAAAAAACACACTACAGCTCCGATGGTTGGTGGGAAAGTATTTTTTAAATCTTCCTGACTATATCTCGGATAATACGTTCGAATTTTTGTATCTACGATTACAACTCCAATTTTTTTTATAATCCAGGGTTTTAATTCTGATAATTTTTGGGAATTATTTTCATATCTCAATAATCGCGAACTAATCTTAAGATTTTAACAATTTTAGTTCTACTAGTCTACAGAAATTCATGATAAAAATAAGTAAAAAAGTTGTAAGTACGGCAGGGCCGAACTTTGAATACCCTTCACCATTTGGATCGAATTTTGGTAATTAAAAAAAATAAAATTCGTTAAAAATTCTGTTAAAATCTTAAAAATACCAAATATAGCCGTCATATTAGGGTCTAAACGACGACATGGACCTGTAAAGGCTGGTCATAAGCCATTGCAGTATTCGCAAATAAGCGAAAGTGTGAATAATGTAGCTAAAATCATCAGTATAGGGAGGTACTATTATATGGGGGCTACACCAAAATGTGAACCTGCATAGACACTTTTCTGTCGTAGGCTGTAGTATCCATTACGAACTTCAAATACCAAATTTTAAACAATTCCGGTGAATAATGTCGCTAAAATCATTAAAATACTGAATATCGGGAGGTACCTTTATATGGGGGGCTATACGAAGTCGTGGACCTGCACAGATAATTTTTGAGTCAAAGGCTGTAGTATCTATTACGAACTTCAATTGCCAAATTTGAAACAATTCCAGTGAATAATGTCGCTAAAATCATCAAAATACCGACTTTCGTGAGGTAACGTTATATGGGGGCTATACCAAAATGTGGGCCAACATGACCCATTTTCAATACCAAAAGTCCTGCATACATAAAATAGATTTGAGTAACATTTTATCAATCTACTTAATTTTGTTCGGAAGCTAGAGTGTTTTCCATAGACGGATAAACGGGCAGACGGACGGCCATCGCTTAATCGACATAGAATTTTATGCTGATAAAGGATATACATACTTTGTATATTTCGAGGTGTTAAAATGTATATTTCGAGGTGTTACAAACGGAATGACAAACTTTATATACCCTCCATACTATGGTGGAGGGTATAATAAGGGCCCTTCTCTGGGGCCTCATTAATTTTTTTGCCATTCGGTAACGTTTTTTTGGCAATAAATTTCAATAATTTCACCGAAAAAAATACCAAGCGCCTCAAAGTATGCTACGTTGAACTGGGAGCAGAGTTAAAATCGCTGGTAATTGAAAAGGTTACAACATTGGCTGAGTACCAACGGTTTTTTTCTCTATTCTGCAGCAGAATTAGTTATGCATCTACCAGCTAATACATCCTTGTTCCGTGTGCAAGTCCAACAACAAAAACACTTTTTTTCAGAAGAATTGCCAGCAGCATTTGCCGTGTCTCATAAACAATGGCAAGCTGAGTTCATGGATAAACGACTGTCTGCACGGTTGTGATGAGTTGCGCCATGTTGTTGTTGTTGCTGCTGTTTTTGTTGTTGGGTACTTGCAACAAAAAGAGTTTACTCTAACGGCAACATAAGTTGTAAAATTTGTTTATCTTGGCTACTTCATGATGTGGTTGTTGTTGTTGGCATTCATAAAAAACCATGAAGAAGAAGAAGAAGACAGCACCTGGTGGATAAAATGTGCCGTGTGTTTCTTTATATCCTCGTTCGCCATAAACGTGACCGTGATTTTATTGTGTATTTACATGGAATGTCAACAAAAAAAAAAAAAAAAACTAACCTCTAACACAACAACAAAACGCCAGCTGCTGCTGCTGTCAGGGTTAAGACAGCGACTAGTTGTGAAGGCCAATTCATTATCATTTTAAGTTAGTTTTCAGCAGCAGAAATAGCAGCAGCATCATCATGAAGTTGGAAATTATGAAGAAGGTGAAAGAGAACATTTTCAAAGCCGAAACTAATAATGAATGCTTTTTGGGTGAATCAAGGCAGGGAATTTTTCTGGGAAATTGTTGAAAAAAAAAAAAAATTGAAAACTTCAAAATTTAGAAGAAAGTTAGGTGTAATTAAAATTTGTTTAAAAAGTACAGAAATTTGAAAATTAATAACACTTTGCCAATATAGTAGTTGCCTGGCTTGGACTCGTGATAGTGGAGAAAATAATAATAATTTACAAATAATAATAATAAAAAAGTAATAAATTAAAAAAAAAATATAATAAAAAACTAATGTGCAGTAATTGTCATTTTTAACAATTATTCTTGCTTGTCTATTATTCCAAATAAGTTACAAATTAAAATAACCCATATGTCCCATTCACTCAGACAACCACCAACATCCTCACGATTTCGCATTCATGCGGCGTATACATGATTCGTATTGACACATTTAATATTAATCATACGCCGTTGATTGTTATCTATTATTCGACATCGGAAAAATATTTACATTATGCAAATGACAACGACTATTTTTGGAATAAATTATTAAAGTGCGCACTTGCACTAACACAACAAAGTGTGTCGCATTCATGCTGGAGTGTAAAAAAAACGACACATTTACATACATATGTGTGCATACATGTATGAGTGTGTACATAGGCTAGAATAGAAAAAAAAATAACAAAATACACTTTCTCTAGTGTTGAGAAAATGCTACAATTTTTATAATATTTTCAATATCATAGGTCCCCATCACACACACACACACATACTCTCGAATTATGTGACAAGTATTTCAGTCTTCCACTCAAATGAATAAAAATAAAAAACCGTTTTGGTTGAGTTGTAAAGTTGGGCATAAATTATCCAACATGGATCGAATATGGACATTGTAAACAACATATGGAGAGAATCTAAAAAAAAAAACAGGTGAACGGCTAGTGCATGGGAAATATATTATTAAAAACAAATATAAATTACAAGTTATAAATAGATTTCAAAATCCTTGGAAAAAAGGCCCTTGAAAATATATTCCAAACATATATTAAGTGAAGTTAAAACATGACAGAGCATAGACTAAATAACGTATAGACAGAAGAAATTCTCCCTTATATAAAAGACTCGATTTCATAAAAGTCGACCCTGCCGTTCATATGAGATTTGAATAAAAAATATTCAGTTTCGAAATCTAAAGCGTGGATCTTTACAGGCAATTATCTGACATAGAAGGCCGAATTTGTTGGGAAAACAGCATCCACTGCCAACTCTATATTCCGAATTTGTAAAAATTTTGTGGAAAATGTTACATTAATCATTAAAACACCAAATTTCTGGAGGTATAATTATACAGGGTTAATTGAAAAAAAACTGCAATCAACTTCAGACTGCTGTCATATCTTAGCCACTCGTCCGACAGCTGTTAAAATTATCCCAGTGACGGCTCATTATATTGTTTACAACCGTACAAAAGCATTTTGGTTTGAATTTTCCAGAAAAAAAAGTTATTCGTCATTGAATTCAAGCGTGATAGTGTGATTTCTTTATATTTTGCTGGAAAACCACAAGTGGCTATCGTTAGAGCACTCCAGCATTTAGATGTGAACAAATCTTTTGTGTCTCGTAACAACGCTCGTTACCGTGATAGCGTAGCC